CTCTAGCAACCTTAGCTACGATAACTATGCACACCCCTCTCGGAAAATCTGCACCCCTCCTGTCAAATAAGCATTGATCTGCCCCTGATGATCATCCTGTCGAACGAAACCTGTGTTTTGTCTTAAATGTCTCCATGATTTATACTATCTTCTTACTTCATAAGAAACCATTCATTTGGAAATGCATAGAGCATGTTTTGTTAAAAGTGGCATTATAGGCACTGCTATAATATAAAACAAATTCCGAAGAAACAAGACATCTTGAGATTGCAAAATATGAATCAAAACAAGACGAGAAGTAAACTGTAAATTTTCGACTTTACTTCAAAGTCATCCTCATTCTGTCTGAGGATGACTTTGAAATAAAGTCGAAAATTTACAGTCTTGTTTTCATATTTTGCAATCTCAAGATGTTTTGTTTCTTCGGAATTTGTTTTATATTATACTTCTTTAAATTGTCGGCTGGTCATGGTTTTTAGGCACTGCTATATTAGGAATAATTCTTAAAACATTGCGTTAATGGCATTCACAACATGCATGTACGTGTGAACTTTGTGAAATAAGTTGCTGTTTTGACTTGATAAAGCTGTAATATAGGCAGACTGATCTTCAGTTAAATTTAGTGTGGTTTCAGGTACAACCACACCAGCTACATTTTCAATTTCATCACGTGCTTCTATTTCATATGATTCAACTTCATCGCTTTATAGTACGTTGTCTAAAGTTAAGTTGCTTTGTGTTTCACATCTTACAATGCTTTCTGACCAAAGTTGCAAAGGCGATAGCCCTCCTTCAGTACTGATTCCGTGGTGATTCCATTGATTAACAAACACTTGTGAGGAATGATTAATGACTGTGACAAGAACAAGCTGTAGCGCAAGAAGATGTACCTATTGGCGGGATCAAGAAGACCTGAACGTTCCATCATGTTAAATTGATCAATATAAGCCTTTAGAACACAAGTAGTAACATCTCTGAGAAGCCTTTCAACTCCTTGGTTGTGAACTGAAGCACTTGTGATGGTACTTCCCGTGTTTGTTCCAAGGCACTCCAACATCATTCGAGCAACAGCCACGTTTTCAAGTCCATGATCACATCTCACTCTTGAAGGTAATCCATATGAACGACAGGCATTTTGGAATAATTCTAAAACTGGGTTTGCTCTGTTTTTAGTAGCACAGCTTAAATATGGTATCAACCTTGAGTAGCCATCAATGGATGTATGAACCACCATTCGCCAGCGAATCATTTTATGGTTCCCTTCGATGTGCCACAGAGCATTTGCACAACCCACATTGTAATTTCTTCTGCGAATTGCTCCCCGCCAACGAAGTACTGTTCCAACTGGACCAAATTCACGCATTTATGTCCTCACACGTGACTGTTGGACCCTTATATCTCGGCTCCTCTGTGCACCTACCATACGTGTTTGTCCTATTTCTGGAGTAACACTCATAATCTCTTGCATTGTTTCTCTAAGTTCAATGTCAGATATGGTAGACCAAGATTCTTCTACATCAATTTGAAACTCTACACGTCTTCGTTGTAATATTTTTGTTGAGATACCCAACAATTCAGCAATTCTAGTCCAAGAAAAGTGCAATTCCCTAAGAAATTCTACTAATCTCTTAGATATTTCGAGTCACGGTTGACCTCTTGTGCCTTGTGTACCTTCTATGGCAATTGCAGGTTGGAGTATAAGGTATCTGATTCTGAAAGTCGTTGATAAGGTTCTGAAAGAAACTCTGAAGTCGACTTAAATAGAAGGATAACTGGTGCATGACATTATAAAAATTCACCATGTCAAAATCATCCATAAGATTTAATGCTCTCTATTTCAACGTGAAAACAGTGTCCCTATTATCTGAAAGTCGCTCGTGTATGCGCTCTAAACTGTCGATATTGTCAAAAAATAGGTGTTCTGAAATGATAAAATGCTCTGCTTCAGCAATAATTGCTTTAGTTCTCTAAAAGAATGAATAAAGACTGTGTTCCGAGCCTCTAATGCCTCCTAAACCCGCCATTTTGAGTTTGAGAAAAAAGCACGTAAACCATGGAAAATTGATAAAATAGTGGGCAAACCATATTCATACATGCATCTTCCTCTTTATTAGTTTCTATTTAAATCAATAAGTGATTACAGATTTTAGCATATGAATATATGAATATGAGCCGCCAATTGTCTAAGTTCTGCCGCCCTGTTGTTTGCTCATAGGAATTTTTTGTGCATTTTTTAAAGTGATAATTGTCACGAATGGCAAACCACGTGAGATCGCGTTGGCACGTGGGTTTTCCGCGACCCAGAGAAGCGTGGACTATGATTTATCAAGTGAAGTCAATCGTGCTGCCCTGGCCAGACTGAAATCATTGATGAGCAAGACACGAAAGATTTGCAACGAGCAGGGACCGTTCCCGATGTGAGTGACGTTGACGAAAACGGGAGTAAGGTGCAAACTAGTTTAGCTGATGAAATGAAACTGGCGGCAATTTATGACGACGAAAGAATGATCAATAATATTTTGAGAGAGAAAACAAGTGACCGTGAAAGTTAGTATTTCGTTGATGAAATATTAATCTCTTTTCCTTCAACCAGCTCGATATTTAAATGTTCTTTTGTAGTTCAAAGATTACTCTCGAGAACTGATGAAAGAGGACAACCATGTATATTTTACGCTTTGGAGTCGCGTAGTCTTAATTCTCTTACTTCCTTGTTAAATTACGTAAAAGACACCAAGTGTGTGATAGCTAAGAACGGAGAGAGTGTACTTCATGTAGCCACGAGAATGGGTGACGTAGGTAAGGCTGGAAGCCATGCTGCGTATTCGGACTTAGGCTTTTTTGTTTGATAAGTTGTTGAAAGCAAAATTTTCTTGAAATGTTTTTTGTGAAATTTGATTGATATTAACATACTATCAAGCTTGTTTTCACTGCTGTAATGGATGACTTTGCTTTAAAATGTAGGTCAACCTATTAGAAATTATGTATAGAATCCCTCTTGGTATTCTTACACTAGCCTCGTGCTAACTCCAATCCCAACTCTAACTAACCACGAACTAAGTTTACCCATTGCCATGCAGTTGTCATTCACGTATTCATATAGTTGTTTATCTATGCGTAGCAAGTTATCTGAGGTGAATTTTGTTGTAGGCCAAGGTAGTTCATAGTTGTGCTCTTTGCCAAGGGATATTTTAAGGATTTTACACAGGGAAGGCACCAACCACAAGACACTCCGTAAAGCGTGAGCCATGTGGCAGAGGGACCTGAAATACCCTTCCCAAGTAAAATTTTAAAAACTGCATCTTTGTAAATGCTATTTTATGCATTTGAAAGCAATTTACTAACAGCGTAAGAGACGTGCTATGAAATAAGCATTCTTTCTTCAACCGAGCAATGTATTATCCGCAATATAATATTTGAAATACTAATTACTAAAACACGCCAAAAGGGCCAAAGATGGAGAGGGGTGGGGGTAATTTTGATTCAGTGCGAGGCCAACATGAGTGTCTGAGATTTTCATTATCACCTTATCTCTTTGTGATGTAGATTTTCTTCATAACTTGTTGCAACATGACTTCATTGTTGATCTTGTGAACCATGTGGAAAGCGTGAATGGTCGATCACCACTTCATTTTGCCGCAACGTTCAACCATGTTGAGATCGCCAAGGTGTTGCTAGAACACGGTGGAAAGATAACAGAGGTTGATATCACAGAAAGATGTCCATTGTACATCGCCGCTAATAAAGGACATGCTAATATGCTTGAACTTTTCCTGAAACACGGTAAAACGATTTTCGCAACATGATATGTATATTTTGTTTAATGACTTTCGTCGTCGGCAGAAGGATTATAGATTTTCGTTTGTCCTCCTGAAATGTGAAAATGTTATTTGTTTAAACGAAAGGTACAGTCGCTCCCTTCCTGCTGCCTATGTATTTATAAAACATTTCTATTTCAGAAAAAAGCAGAGTGCAAGAGTTATTGTTCAGCGAGGAGTATGGTGGAAGTCATTACCGCAATATACTTCATGTTGCTGTGGACAGTGGTGATGAACGTACTGTACAAGTTTGTCTGCAAGATGAAGATGTGATTCGTGAAGATTTGCGCGAAGAAATCAGACATGGAGATGGTTATTTGATTCATGCGGCTTGTAAAATGGCATGAAGAAGAGTTTATTTCGATTTGTGGATGTAATGACACATTTGGACTTACTTCAGTTGAACAGAAAGGATAAACAAGGATTCACCCCGATTCATAAGTAGGTTTTACGTTTCATTCGTATCATCTGTACATTTAATTATTCAGGACTATTGGATTTAAGCCTGGCGTTATCACTTTGACAATTTATTTCATTCTAGAGCGGCAATCAATAATCACAGTGATATTGTCTCTTACATTGGATCAAAATCCAAGATTTTTGTCAATGAAAAGACGGAAAACTCCCAGTCTGCGTTGGTCCTTGCCGCTCAACGCGGTCATGTTCGTGTCGTTGAAGAACTGCTTAAATTGAAAGCTGATTTCACCATTCGTGATGACAGCAATAGAACGGTTCTTCACTATGCAATTGCATATCCTGAAACATTGAGAATTTTGCTGAAGGTATGCGTGGTTGCTATCGTTTTGTTTGGAGATGAAAAGCGAAGCTTTAAATTTTAATCATAATCAAACACGTTATAGAAAAAAGATCTCGGGCCGTTGCTTATTAACGAGAAAGAAATAGACGGTTATACACCCATTCATAATGCCGCCTTAAAAGGATTTCTTGAGGTAAGTGTGTTGCTTTTGCTTTGAGATTAAGTCAAGACATACACAAGTACATTACAGGAGGCTCATTTCTTTATTTTAGAGTGCCCGTATTTTGTTAGAATATAACGCTGATCTGAATGTCTTCACGAACACTTCTCGTTCGCCATTACATTGCGCTGTTAGTTCACAGAACTCTGATGTGGTTGAATTAATCCTAGCCAATGAACCAGCTTTGATCAACAAGGTCGATGCCACAGGAAAACGCCGCTCCATACAGCAGCGAACTACAGTAGCCCAGAGGTCGTCAAATGTCTTCTGAATAACAGAGCAATTATAGTTAGGTAATTTTCTATCTTGCCATCAACGAAGTTTACAGAGAAAAGATAACTGTAAAATGTCTTAACTTAATTGATAGGGAAGAAAGATTTGAGTAAAATATTTATTGTGTACTTAAGGGATGGAAATTTGTTTAGTCCACTTCACATTGCTGCGTTCAAAGGACATCTTAATATTGTTGAATTGTTGGTGATGTTCAAACCTTCCATGATCAATTGGGAAAATAAATACAAACGAACAGCATTGCTTACAGCAGCTGTGAAAGGCAAAGCAGATGTTGTGAAGTATTTGCTAGATAGCATGGCGGCAATTACAGAAGATTATGAGTTCTTTAACTGCTTGGATTGGGCCATCATAAATGACGATACTAAAAGCGCTATGGTGATGATGTGTCATGATAGATGGAAAGAGGTATGTTTCATTATAATGTATTTGATTTTATTATCAGTATAGCAATTAAGTGTAGCATTCGGTTTGACAGTAAGTATATGTTCAACATGTTTCTTATTCTTGTGCATCTTCAGTGTACTGCTTGTTTGAAAACTGTAGAACAACAGATGACATGGTTGGCAAGTTGTCTTATCGAGTGCATATCACCCAGAGAGTATTGACCATTTGGTTGCATACGACTTTTTCTGTTTACAAAATACAGGTGTGGTGAGCAAGCTATCTTATATAGAAAATAAAGATCTAGTTGAGGATCTCAACTTAATCCAAAGAAAGTTCTCAAAAAACGTTAAAAAATTGAGAATGCTACAATTCTCATAGTAGCTACTACGCTCAATGGCTCCGCCAAGGGGTTGGGGGTGGGTGTTGGTGGCGATGCAATATTTTCTACACAAAGAAAACATAATTGCTATATATTTTTCCTCATTTCCCACCACCACCATCAACATAACCACCATTAACACAACCTCCACCAACACAACAACCACTACCACAACAACCACCACCATCAACACAACCACCACCACCACAACAACCACCACCACCATCAACACAACCACCACAAATACCACCACCACAACAACCGCCACCACAACAACCACCACCATCAACACAACCACCACCACCACAACAACCACCACCACCATCAACACACCAACAACCACCACCACAACAACCACCACCACCACCATCAACACAACCACCATCAACACAATCCACCAACACAACAACCACCACAACAACCACCACCACAACAACCACCACCACCATCAACACAACCACCACCACCACAACAACCACCACCATTATCATCAACACAACCACCACCACCACACAACCACTACAACCACCACCACCATCATCACAACCACCATTAACACAACCTCCACCAACACAACAACCGCCACCACAACAACCACCACCACAACAACCACCACCACCATCAACACAACCTCCACCAACACAACAACCACAAACGCCACAAAAACCACCACCACCACAAAAACCACCACCACCATCAACACCACCACCACCATTACCAGTCTATGCATCATTGCTTCCATGTATTGATGAAGTATTGTATTGTCTGCAAAAGGTCGCCAAGGTTGAATAAATGAAACAGTCACGTGGTTGGGTTATTTATATCTTATCATATTTGAATAAGACATTTTGTATAGACATAGCCACTGACTACGCTTTTTAGAACCGTGTTTTCATTTTACTGTTTTCATCGTGTACATCCTCTGTCTCCTTTTCGACAAGGCTTTCCTTATAGTTATCCTTTTTTCGCAGTTACAAACAAGAGAGGTAAAAAACTCAAGCCATTTACCGCCATCAAAGCGATGTTGCGAAATAGCAGTTACCAATGCCTATGTCATCCTGTCTGCTGTAAATACCTTAAAGCAAAATGGATGGAATTTGGATGGAAAGTGTGCACAACAAGTTTTATGTTTTATTTCTTGTTTTTGGTTTCTCTTAACGTCTACGCGTTTGGAATTCCTTCATATAAGGCGTCTGTTGGCAAAGATGGTAATGTGAAGATTAATCAAAATACATAACAACGGTAACTCCAAGTAACGTAAACATTTTGATTAAACGTTTCAACTCTATTTAGTCATCATCAGAAATGATTATGTTACATGTGTATGCATTATATATAGACTGTATGTGTTTTGATGTAGTTGACAGAAGACAGATAGTTCTCTCTTGCCTCGACACAAGACTACACGAACATGCTACTACAGACAACAAATCAAAAATCTATAAACACATCAACAGCTGCGAACAATTTATCCATCTCACTGATTTCTTACAACTTAACATGTACGAACCCAATACCGAACAATATGACCCAACTCTCTTCCTGTTGAACAACTGTCACATCATAGACTGGACAAGCATTGTTCAAACCTTTTATTCGAAGGAACACTCCCCATCCGTAGAAAAAAACCGAAAATTAATCATGGTACTAAAGCTTTGAGTGAACTATCTGTTTCTGTTAACTTGGTCAAATTATATAAAGTCTATATATACTGCGCACGCATGTAATATAATCATTCCTGATGATGACTAAATAAAGTAGAAATATTGAATCAAAATGCTTACGATATTTGGAGTTACCGTTGTTATGTATTTTAATTAAAATACTTAGTGGTTCCCGAAAACATTTTCGTGGAGATTAATTATTTCACGATTTTCTTGAATTTGTTTAGTTTTATGTTTTCGTTATTGAAAATATTTGTGTTTAGAATTACGAAATGCGTCGATAAATGTTAAGGTAGCGATGCTTATCTGTCTCATATCTGCTGGCGCTCAAACATTGAAAGAAATCGGTCAGGTTAGCATTCAGTTTGTGGTCGTAAAAGTTCCCTCGTATAAACCATGTATATTATAAATGCCACTTTATGTTTGTGCTCGTTGCAAAGCTGTTATAAAATATTAGGGACTGCGATCAAAAAATGAGACTTATTCATGACAGCAGAATGATACGTAGAATGAAAACGTATGTATTTTGCCTTGGAACATCGGCTTTCTCAGTGAAGGTGTGATTGATAACCTTGCAGTTGCAGAACAACAATAGCATGACGTCAACCATATGGCTGCTATTTGTTAAAGCTTATTTATCTTTTTAGTTTTATTTTAATTTAGTGATGTACGTTACAGTTTTAATTGGCAGTATTAGTATTTTGTTCCATTTTATCTTCAACAGCAATCCTTCATTTCTATAACATTTCTGTAAGAAATGACAAGCTACAAACCTATAACAAAAATTTTTTGTGTATAGGGCTGATTTTGTTGTCCTTTCCCCTGTATAAGAATGGCGAAATCGTTAAAAAGTAATTTAAAAAATATGTCTACGCTTAATTTGATCTCTTGATATTGACATGCTTTATTTAATTATGTAGTTATTCGTTTACAAATTCAATTATCTTATGGACAAAGTTAACTATTTGGAATGTGTTCTCTACGTATCAACATTCATCTTTGCTGTACCAAGTAACGACAGTATGTCTGTAAAGACAAGTTTTCAATGGATGGCCTGTTCTGTAGCGTTATTCTGTGCTTGGATGAATCTTATTATGTATTTAAGAAGGTTTGCCTCCTACGGTATAATTATTCTTATGATGAGGAAAATTTCCTTCACACTAATCAAGGTTTGTCTGCTGAAGTTATGACTTCTCCCTCAACCCTAATGTTTAATGATATCAACAATTCTTATTTAGGTCATGGGTCTTTTGATATTTTTCTTGGTCGCTTTTGCTGCCGCTTTTACAGTAATAATGAATGATAGACAGGGATTTGAGTGGTTTAGCATGTCTATCTTAACTGGAGCAACGATGACGATGGGAGAGTTTGATTTTAAACAGACATTTCTCGGTGACCACTCTGATTACAACACATTTTATCCATTACAGTTGGTCCTCCTTGTTGGTTTTCTCGTCGTTATGCCTATCATTATTATGAACCTTCTGCTTGCCCTTGCCATTGATGATACCAGTAGCATTATGCAACACGCTAAGCTGCAGAAACACATTCAAACGGTAAGGATATTCATGAAACTATCAAATTAGATCCTATAGATAACGTATGTCAATGAAGTTAGTGATGAATGAACGTCAGACAACAAGAACAGTCTTACAGTATCTAAAATATAAACTAAGATAACGTGTGTCAGTGTAGGTAGTGATGAATGAGCAATGGAGAACGAGAACAGTCTTTGCACTATCTAGAATATAAACTATGATAACGTGTGTCATTGTAGGTAGTGATGAATGAAAACAGATAACGGGGACAATTTTTACACTACTTAAACTAAGATAACGTGTAGGTGGTGATGAATGAATGAGGTGAATAAAAGCAATCGTTATGACATTTACAACATTTTTCTTTTAATTGATTTAGGCAAAATGATAATTGACATAGAACGGAAGAGGTTTTATTTCCATGGCGAAGTAGAAAAACACTCATACCTTGTTTACAGGAGAGACCCAACAAGACATACAACTTTACCCGCGCCGTTTGGGATTTTGTATTTTACGGTCCTGATTTTTCTACCAATGTAGCCGATGAGAGCCGGGAAGAAATGGGAAAGAAACAAGACATGTCAACGTTGATTCAAATGGTTAAAGAACTGCAAAGGCAGAATGCTGTTTTGCAAAATAAAATGTTAGAGATTCAAAACGAGTTTACAATGGAAAGGAATCGTAGATCAATCGAGTATGTCCGAATGAGTCAAGATAAACAAAACGCTACTACTCAATTTCGAGGTAACATTTCTTATTTGTAAAAATGTTACTGAATTTTCCAAAAACACACTTCAAAGCCATGTAAAGACTGATCTCTGTCTCTGTTGTTCATTCATCACTGACAGTTCTCGTTCTCTGTTGTTCATACATCACTACCTACATTGACACACATTGTAAGTAGTGGAGAAGCTGTTGCCTTTACGTACTTTTGTATTTTCTTAAATAGGTTACAGTGAGAGCATAGAAACCTTTAATCCAGAGGAGACAAGAGCTGAGTCTAAGCGAAAGGCTTGGGAAAAGTACAAAACGATCATAAGAAATTCAGTGTACCGAATTCAAGTGACTATGGCGTCGGTGATGATTTGAAGTATTCTGAAGGAGATTTTGACGAAGAGAGAAAGCAAGGAGAACGATCCCGAATTAAATGAATTAAAGAGACAGCATAGTCAAATGGATACATACGAAGATAAAGATGGGGTAGTCGTTCATGATGATGTAACAATTTCTGTGAATGAAAATGAGGCTGAAGACAGTAGACTATTTAATAATAATGATAAACTGTCAATGATTCTTCGTACTGATTCCAGTGCTGTCTGAAATCCTGAAACAGCAAATCCTTAGGAACCCATTCCACCGAGTTAACCACAATTTGCTACTATGGAAACTGTCGTCAATATGGTTAGAGATTTCCCCAAAGTGGTAGCGCATGATTTTAACAAGATGTGTCATTTTGACAGGAAGAAAATGTTTTTAATGTGTTATAATTCTAGAATACAAACCTTACTAACGCCCATGGCATGATCTTTGGGTTTAGCGCAGCGTAGCAACTGTAGCTTTCTTTTTTTAAATGCATAAAAAATGTTAAATAAAGGTTCCAAAACCAATTACTATCGAGACGATTTAGGTCGAGCGAAACACGCTCTCATTGTCAGCGTTATTTTCGAGGTTCTTGTCTGTGTGTTCAAGATCCGCCCTGGTATTTTTGCGTTGGATGAAGAACTCTTTATTAAAATGTTTAAAACAAAAAGATTAAATAGAAATTCCAAAGCAATTTAATGTCGTGATGATTTACGTCAAGCGAAGTACGCCCGGCTTCGGTGCAATTGACTGCGGGCTCCAATTACATTTGCCAAAATTTTTCGTAAAATTAAGAAAATATAAAAAGTACATAAAGGGTTATCTTCTAAGCTGCACATCGCTCCTTCACCTCTCTTCTTCACGTTTCTCCTTCACATCTCTTCTTCACGTTTCTCCTTCACATCTTTTCTTCACGTTTCTATTATTTACCAGCGTCACTTGTTTTCTGTCTTTCACGTTGATAGTAGTGGACTTTTGGTCAGGCGTAGAATGTTTCGAGGAAACAGGCAGGATTCGCACCGGAACATCGAGTGGAGTTGGCATGGAAAAAATTCGGACCTTGTACATATTTTTTGTCTTTGTTTTTATACAAAAGCTGCGGATATTTCTTGTAGGAAATATGAAACGCCTTTATGTATTTAGTCTATATTAGGCGATTTTTTTCTACAGTTCTTGCTATAAAAAAAAAGCTTGTCTTCTACGTTAATCTACATTTATTTTAGGTTGTCTTACCATGAAATTCAATAGAAAATAATTTGCATCAGGAAATCCATGGTAAGCTATGTCAGAATTGATCATCGTGTCTGATCTCCTACTAACACCACAAAAATGATATAAAAATGATTGATGAATTTATGTGAGCTCGTTGCTCACCGAACGAGTGGAATCAATTGTAACTATAAAGTCTATGTTTGCGGAGGCGCAAAAGTTCGAACTATTTCACTATTTCTATAATTAAATAACAATCTTCAAGTTCATAGTGATAAACAATCGTTTCCAACACGTCTCGACCTTTATGAGAAGTTTCAAAACGACGTCACCAACATCTTAATGGCCAAACTCATATTTGCGTTATTTAATGGTTTAATGATTTGCGTAATATCACAGAAAAATGGTCAATTGTCATTTGCATTTTACGTTTATTAATGGATGAAGAGCATAGTTCTTTTGTTTGGCAACAATACGTTTTTTTTTTAAAAATTAGATTTAATAGATATCCGATAATTTGTTCAAGTACGAACAATTCATGTGGAACAAATACATATAATGATATGCTTAACACCATGCATAAAGGTACTATTTACTTCAAGTTTTGCCTCATACAAGTCACGAGGCGTCATGGAAAGCAGATGTTGCTCATAAAACATGGAACAATACTATACACATAGGCGACAAGTATAAAGATTTTTGATTATGCACAGTAAAATAAAGTTGTTGGCTTCAACTGTCATCGACGACAAGTTACCGAAAGACGTCTTATTTGATTGCCGATGTATTTGAATGTTTTGATGAAAAAATCAAGACCACCGACATCTGTGAATGCAACTGAACAAGAATTGGAATCTTTGAGTTTAAAGAAACGTTTTGAGAACATAGAAAAATACGCTCGTAGGACTGAAGTCGCTACAAAGAAGAAAGAAAAGATTGGTTAGTGTTTGCAACACTACTCGGTAATAGCCGATAATTTTGGCATAATCCGATCAACAGCAAGAGGATTTTTCCGATATTTGTGAGAAAATTCGGTTGTTCAGATACCAAGAGGAGAGGAGAAACTAAGTCAAGTGAGTACAAACGTAAGTAACTACATTGACGTTAAATATTTATTTGCTTCTTGATTCTATTGTTCTTGTGAAAATCGCATTGGTTTTATTGATGCTGCTGATTTTAGTTTGTTTCTTCAATGTCACATTAGTCATTACTGAATATATGCAATGAATATAAGTACACTGAATTTGTCTTTGTGAAGGTGATAAGCTCCTAAGGAGCCAATCACATTAAAAATTCTAATCATGACGTCAATTAAAGAATATAAATTAGTTTTTTCACTTCAACGGTTAATTAGTCACTTTAACGTTGTAGAAAGAAAGGTAAATCTGTCTTTTTACTGACGATATAAAGAAGTATGAGTTACGTGGAACAATCAACTAGTCTTTGTGCAGGCCTCGTAATATGAAAGCTTTCACTGTAAAATGCTTTGACCACAATGTTAAGTCTTCGATTGTTTGAAACTTACCATAAGAGTGCATTGTAAATTGTAATCTGTCGAAATGGCGATTCATGATTTCACTAGCTACTTTGTTGGTTAACAATGTTGAGTACTTTGTTTATGGAATGGTATAAAGGCATTGAATGGACATCACTTTGGCATATTTACGTATGAACATAATATTGAAATTACTGGACTAAAAAAACGAAATATGTTCTACGAAGATGGAAAACAAGCGAGTGGAAAAACACGATTCATGTCTTGTGGTTTGTAAGTTGAGTAAATAAGTGTTGTATGAGTATCTGCATGAGATAGTTAAAAGGATCCTGATGGTCTATTTCTATAATTTGAGCCTTAATCATGAAAAACACCCAAATAAAATAAAACAGTCGGTTTTCATGACAAAATTTGTCAATTTTGTTTATCAACGAAGGATGTCACTTACTGTGAGAAAATAGCTGGCTTTCATTCACTACTTTTGATAATTACATTTAACGTTCATAACGAAAATTGCAATGCTGCAAGTAGCTAGGGGTCATTGAATTTCGCAAATAAAAATGCTACCATATATTTCTACGACATACACACAAAACTGCGCAGTGAAAAAATAGGAAGAGACCGACCAAGTCGCCTGGATCAAACGGACCAGGACAACGCTTGGAAATCAGGTATAAAAGTTTTGTTCTTTTCAATGTATTTAATTTCTGTTCTTGATAATTCATTTTGCTGACATTTACAACGTGTTTTTTGTAGAGTGACTTTTTCTGTAGGCCTACTAACTGGACAATTAATGAACGACCAAGTCCGACAGAAGCACCAAGAAACAAGCGTCCTTGTAGAAAGAATCGCACTTTTGTTATGCATAACGTTTATCAGTATAACGCATTTTCAAGTACAACAGCTTAAAACTAAATTTTCACAATTGTTAAATTTTCTGACAAAACACGTGAGTGAAAGCCAGCTGTTAATGAAGGCGTTAATGTAGCAACATAGAAATTTTGAATGAAGTCTAGTAGACATGAAAAATGATTTTTATGCAAGTCATGACGTCACTTTGGTCATTTCATTTTTTCATTGTTATTGACAGATGAATGGTCATGTTGTACATACTGAATAATTTTTTCATATAATTTTATGGGATGCTTTTAATTTTCAATTTTCGTCTATTCATTAAAATGTTTAACATTCGGCGCACTTTCATTTTTTGTTCTCTACGAAAGTTTGCGTTTCTTTTGTTGAACACAAAATATTTGCTGTGTCAATAGGGTAGTCAGTCCGCTTTTTTGTCGCTCTGTAAATTCAAATTATTTATACGGCTATATAGGACGCACGATCTGACTACGCTGCAGCATATTAAAATAGATCATCGGGATCATTGAAAACAACATAAAAAGGAAACATCTTAAAACTACAAAAATTTAAGGAAATTTTTTAAATTTTTGATCTTTTCTTTTATTGGAGGGTTTTTTCCCCGGATCCACAGGTTTTCCCTCCCATTTCGTTTTGTTTTAGAAAAAAACAGTGTCCTCATTTGGGGCCAAGCAAAGCCATTTGGTCACAACATTATTTATTTTAGCTATCAGGTATATTCACGTTTCCTTTTTAATTTCTTGGTCTTTGGGTACATCTCCCAAAACACTGCATTTATTAAATTCAATGGCATACATTTAAAAAAACTTATGGTCCTTTATAAAAAAATCACAGTTATGCACGCAATCATAACTATAATCACATCACCCGCCAATGTCCTCTACAAACCTGAAAATAACCATGATGATCCATATGGTATACGTGCCAAACCACCATCCACGATAAAAGTCAGTCGTCAAATTTTGACACACGTGCCCTGAAATATCATCGACATAGTCACATAGCTCTAATCAAAAGAAGTATTCTTTCTGATGTGCCTAATTCGAGTGTTTGGAAGGCTTACTTTTAAGGGTGGTTGTTGAAAGGAAAAACTTGTCTGTTTTCAGTATTTACTGAGAAACTGATTACCACACACAATCTCTGGTGAATTAAATGTGAATTTCGTATATATTCAAACAATATTTTTAGCAGAGATTAATGTTTCGTATTTTTGAACCAAAAAATTACATGACTTGTAAAACAGCCCAAAGTTTATTGAAATAAACCTTGCCAACACAATGTTTAAATTTAAAGGCACACACATGTACAAAATGTCTGCGTTCGATCTATCGTTCATATCACGCTAATTAACATTCACCACCACCAGACCTGTCTTGAAGAAAATTAGTAAATCCAAGCTAAATTGCAATCTATAGCTTGAACACGAAACCACTCAGCTAAGCCTATAGAGATGTTTGGCTAGCAC